GGAACATTCGTATTTCGGGGACTGGTTAATAAAAAATTGTGGTGCACCTTTTTGTTCTTGTATCACACCTATAAAATGGTAAAAATCCCTCTGCTTGGTTACTCAATGACGAAGCTTTGGCTTCCTGAATCTCATGTTCAAAACTGGTTAGTGTTGTCAAGTACTGAGTCATGAGTTTACTCAGATGGCTGTTTGAAACAACTCGAGCAGCTTCGTCATTCTAATAGCTCGCATACGCTGCTGCCTGCACTTTCCGCTTTTTATCGCGTAACCAATGGATTTGTTCAGATTTTCGTTCTGATGTCGTTTTATGGCATGTCGGCACCTAAATAAGTTTTCGGTGAGCTTTTTTATAGTTATTGTCACCTATGCGTCCTGCTTCGCTTATTTTCTTCTGTTGTGGTCGAGAAAATGAAGATGGTGGCATAATTGCACGCATGAAATGAAGTCTTTTGAGAAGAAAGTTTTCAGAACGTGTTTTTTGAATGTTTGCATGCTCGCTTTGTGACCATCATTCAACTCCACTTCATCCAGTTCGCGATTGGTCAAATCAGTGAGCTGACCAATAGCGAAGCGGATGTCCACTTGATCACCTATCCACTTCGCTATTGGTCAGTTCACTGAATAGGCCAATAGCGAAGCGGATCAGTATGAAGTGGATCAAGTATGACGCATGCCCTAAGTAAAGGCTACTGCCGAACGAAGGCGAAAAACCTAGGGGTGCGAACGCGGTTTTATTAGCTGCAGAGCACAATGAGGCGCAAGGTGTTTAGATTCGTAAAGATCCGCGCGTCGCGTTCGCGTTTGCTCAGTTTGTTGCCTTTGAGCTTTCGTCCGGCAGTAGCCTTTATCAAAAATTCGCAAGTCTCAGTTTGGTGGTTCTAGCAAAAACTTACATGGAAAATCTTGGCAAATTTCAGTTACCTTTGGGGCATCTTGACCCATATTATATTCAGGTTTGAGGCTTTTTTACCTTATCAAGATTGAGAACTCAGGATTTCAAAAAACTCGAACTGCACCACTTTCCAACTTTAGAAGCTCAAAACTGCACTGCTTGATCCTGTATGGCAAGAAAAGTAGCAGGATTTGATGAGATTTTGGAGCTTCTACATAACACGAGAGTTTTTTTTCTCAAACATCTTACATAAAGTATTGAGTAAAACTGATTTACTATAGCTACCCTTCGTGAACAAAACTAGCTTATTCCCAAAGAGAAACATTCAACAAGAGTATTCTATGGAACATACGTGTACTAGAGCGCAACATGGGATATGTCCAATCAATAATTGGACCCTACAGATTCAAACACTATTTCACTGACGAACAACGATGGCAGAGAAGTGCCGTATCAAGCTGCTTCCGCTTGATGATCAAGGAGTCCCAAGATATGATGACCAGACGGGTGAAGTCTTGGTAAGCTGATTTTGCAAGATTGCGTGGATCACAGAAATGTCCTTTGCAGATACCTGAAGATGACTTTCTATTGTACAAAGGAATGTGTGATAAGACTATGATTTTATTAGATCATTGGATTGATAATAGAGAAAAACTAGAGGCCGAGTTGGAAATAATCGCCGAGGATGTATGGTTTTTATGCCTTTATCTTTTAGACTTGATTTGGCTTTTTTCTTGCTATTCTTGTTAAGCTTGATCGCTGGGAATACGGGACTAATATTTCAACGACAGTCGGCTCAGTAGCAGGGATTGGTGGAGGTGCTGCTATTATTACTGGGATGATTGTTATGCCGCCGATGGCTGTTGCAGGTCGTGGCTTACACTTAACGCTCTTTTTTGTTTATTTTATTTTATTTTATTTTATTTT